CCCCAAAGGAATTCATAGCGTGGAGGATCACTGTTGGGCACCTGCTGGTACTCCAAGTACTTTTCCTGCACCAAATCTTTGGTGATGAGCTTCCTTGGATCCCCAAAGACTAAATGCCACTTCCCATCATAGATATCCAAAACATTCAGGAATTCCCAAATTTTCTCCTCAGTGACCCGGTTGCCATTCATGTAGATCAAGGCCAGGAGAGGCGTCAAGAGGCCATTCCTGGGATAAGCCCTGACACCAAATAGATTCTCTTCCTGGCTGATCTCCAAATTGCTGACAATGGCATAGAACTGACCTTTGGAGTCAATTTCCTTCAGGCTGAGGCCAAAGACTACCTCAATGTGCTCACAGGCTCTCCTCAGGATCTCTGGGAATTGCCCCTTGAACTTTTTGTTGATGACCTTCATCATTTCTGCCTTTAAAATGAGCTCTCTGTTTTTATACTCCTGCAGCAGAAACTGCAACAACCTGAGCACACTCCTGCTGAGAGGGTCTCTGTGTGATTTCTCAGTGGGGGGAGGGGCCACAGAGGAACTTGCATTTAACTCCACTTGGCCCTCTGCACCTTCAGCAGCAGTTGTGCAGGACACACCATCAGCATCAGTGGTGGTTGATGGGACAATCTCAGGCCCCTGGGGAAAGCCAGCAGCTGAGGAGCTCTGGGAAGAACTCCCAAAGGGAGAAGAGGAGTGGGGAGACCCTTCCTCCTCTGCTGCAGTGTCCTGGGCACCCTCAAGACCATGGTCGTCACCTCTGGCCTCAAGCTGGGCTTTAAGTCGGGCCTGGTGACGTTTCTCTCGGGCACGGAGCTTACTCTTATGACCACGAGGCATGATGACTCTGGTCAAGGAGAGCAGGCAGGACTATGGGAGCAGGACAGGTGGTGGGAGGCTACTGCGGAAGAAAGTCTGAGGGAGTGTCAGCCCCTTTGGCAGGTAGATTCCTCTTTGGCTTTAACAATGGCTGTTTAGACAGGATTCTTGGAGGGTACTGTTCTAGGAACACAGAAGGCTTCTCATGTGGTCAGCCTGTCCTGAGAACCCTGTGGAGGAAATTAGGGTGAGGTTTAGTTTGCAGTTGCCAGCAGGGCCTGGCAGTGGGGAACTTCTCTACTGGGATAGTGGTGAGGCTACTCAGTTCACTTTCAGGGCCATCGGATCAAGAGTTGGCAGGGTTTGTGCCTTGTCCCGTCCCGTGTGCTTCCCTGAGCTTGACACCTCAAAG